AAAACTCATGTGAAATCATCCCCAGTTCGTATAGATTGAATTTTTTTAAATCATGACCCCTGGGGGTAGGGTGGGGCCAAAATGGCCGATCAAAGTTTTACATAGGAATACATAGGGAAAATCTTTAAAAATCTTCTTCTCAAGAACCACTGGGCCAGGAAAGATGAAACTAATGTGAAAACATCCTCATGTAGTGTACATGTAGATTCAAGTTTGTTCAAATCATGATCCCGGGGGTAGGGTGGGGCCAAAATGGCCAATCAAAGTTTTTCATAAGAATACATGTATATAGGGAAATCTTTTAAAATCTCCTTCTCAAGTACTTCAAAGCCACGATTAGTGATATTTATACGAAATCATCCTCAGGTAGTGTAGATTTAAATTTGTTCAAATCATGACCCCTAGGGGGTTAAGATTTAAGCCCCCCCCCCCCTCCAAACTCAGTAAACTTTCATTTCTGATCTGATATTTGCTTTTTCCTAGCCGGTGTGCTCAGGTGAGCACTGTGGCCCCTGGGCCTCTTGTTTCTTATGAATTCTTTCAACGAATTCTGACAAATAAAGGAAATATATTCTGAAAGTCCAGGAAAAAACTGAGCCAATTTTAACACAAAATTGACACTTTTTTAGTAATATCTAAAAATTTACATCATATACCCCCACATTTGATGTTCTTTTCTGATAATTTAAGATAACGTTTACCTATCTGCTTAAATTCAGCAAAAGTTTAAGACTTTGAAATAATTTTCTTGCTTATTTAATTTTCAGAGCCAGAAAAATAACATTTTTTGAGTGCAGAGAGGACAAATAATTCATTGTGCGAAGCAATTTGAAAATTTTTCTTAGTCACAATTTTAAAGTGTCTTTTTTTTAAATTGACTAATACATGTAGTTTATTTTGTTTCATTGCTTTATTTGGATAAAAATATTGGAGGGAAAACGTCGAAGATGTAATTTTTGATTAAGACACAAAATTCAGTGCAAAAACGTCATATTAAATGTACTGTACATGTAGCACCAAAATTCATATTCATTATCGACCCTCATTTTTTTTTTTATCTGGTTTCTTATTAAGTTATGTGTGTAGATACTAAAAATATACTTGACAAAAAAAGTTTATGACATTAAATATCAGGAGCCAACCTCGTTAATTCAAACAAATATGAATCAATAATAAAATTGAAAAAAAAAAGCTTCATCAAGAATCACCAATAAAACTCTTTTTAAAGATATAGACTATAAAATAGCTCTTAATCAACACTTACATATCTTCATTATAAGTTTGATATGACATATTATAGACAAATATATTTTTAACTGACTAAATTGAGAGTTCCAACAGAATAGGCAATATCAGGGGTCTTTAGCTTTCTTCTGACTTGGAGTTTTAAAATTTAAAGCGAACGGAATGGCGGGAAAATGATTGGAAGTCGCTACGGTATCAAGAAATCTAATTGGCCATGGTCATTAATATCTTTCTCGAATAAAATACCTAAATATCAAGCATATGGCCCAGACTCTGTGGTGTCCTTTATTTCGAGATCCATATCAACGTAGGACTGAAACTGAATTGGTGAAATATTGAAATTGTTACACCATTATTTATACACATGTACACGCTAAATTGTAATTTCAGTTTCGCATCATGACACGGAGCAAAAGCACAAAGAGTGCATGACAGGTCAACAGAAGATGCTTACTTCTCCATGTCACCTATTCCCGCCTCTGATGTTTATAGAGGTTCGTGCTTGATTTTTATAGGTTCTTGGTTGTTGTTTTAGAGGTTCGTGTATATTGTTTTAGATGTCTGTGTTTGCATTATTCCTGAATTGTTTTCTTTATATGGATTTTTGAGCTTGATTATACAACTTGCTATCTCCGAATTTTATACTTGAAAAAAAAAATGAAGATAACGAAGAGTGATCGGTATTAAAAAAATTATTTTTATAAACAGTACAATTCTTCAATGTTTTATGAATGATTCTGTTGGTATCCTATAAATGCCAATCTAACCTGTTTTCATATCTTTTGAAGCAGAATTTATTTTTTAAAAATCATACTGAAAGAAAAAAAAACTTGCTCTGGCCTTCGAGTCGACATTTTATCGCGACGATGTATTATTAATCATTAATCGTAATTTTTTTATTCATCTTCCGATATCCCAGTGAACTTGAAGTTAAAGACATCTCAGAATCTGCCACATGTGCTTCCAATTTGGATTTTTTACTCATAATTAATAGACGATAAGGCCCAATTAATAACTAAATTGTATGGCAAGCGAGATGATTTCAACTTCTCCAACGTCAACTTTGCTTCTAAATGTCTAGGTGCAATAATGTAGCCCTCTCCGACCCCCCCCCCCCCCCAAAAAAAAAGAGAGGGGGCTTAATTATTGCATCCAATAAATGTAGTTAAATCCTGACGTCACATGCATCTCCCAACATATTCAATACTCATGAGGCAAAGGATGTTCCGATAACGATCCATTTTTTTTTTTACAAAGGGAGGCTTCTGACAGATAAGTTGATGTTACAGGGATTTCGTAAATTCTATGCTCATTATAATGACTATTCCAGGATATTTTAACATAACTGGTTCGTAATTTGGCTGACTAGTTTCATACCAATTGTTAGGCCTGTGTTTTATGCTTATTTTGACGACGGGATGTTCTGTCTTCATGATGAATACATCGCCCGAATCCCAATGTGGGACGTGGAGACCTACATCTACATCTACATTATAGAGCGTTCCATCAAACATGATGATTATACGCTGGCCCTGCGCAAACGGACCTCTAAAATTAAATCAAAAAGTAGGAGAGAAAAAAAAAATTACAAATAAAAATTAAAAACTAAATGCCGAAATTGAAGTGTATATTTAAATTAAACAAGTGCTTTAGAAAACAATTTACATTGTGCAAAGTTTAAAAAAGTGTATATCTATATATATTTACAATGTACTCTAGCTGATTTGTTCTGAATATAAGAGTTATGGAACATAGGTTTGCTGAATTTTGATCAATGGGCAGAAAATGCAACTTTATAATGTCCTAGTGGGTAAAAAAAAAATTACCACCACTGATGTGTGTGGATAGTTATAAAAATTCATTGCAAAGAATCCCTGTGTGGAGACATATATCACAAAATTTATAATAGTCAGGTACATATGTACTGACCATTTGATTCTGAGGGGGGGGGGGGGGGGTGAAGAGAACTGGATTATTTATTTTCATGCCTGTCAAGGACAGATTATTTATTTTCAAGATTATCAAGGCTTTGATTATAGCTACTAATTTGTGTGTAATTTTATACAACATTATCAATCTACATCATTTATATACCACTGTGCATATTAATGTTGGCCAATTTAGATGGTGTAACATGTTTGTAAAAGCAGGACAATTGTATTATTGGTTATTATGTAGCAAAGTATGACATTATTGATATTGGTCATATCATACTTTGAATAAACTGAGGCCCCGTGTCGCGGGTTTTTGTGTATTTTAAAAGTAAAACCAGGCACAATTATGTAAGAACCCTAGATTCCAAAGTATGACATAATTAATACTAGTCATAATACTTTGAATGTAGCTCAACATCGGGTTTTTGTGTATTTTAAGAGTAAAACTAGGCACAAAAATATTGGTATTGTACTAAAGTATGGCAATATTAATATAATTCATATCATACTTTGAAATTTGAAAATTTATCTAAAAGGACAACTTTTTTCCCTACCATTCGGAAGTGACAAGGATAATGGCGCGGCGAAATTGAACTTCACTTGTGTAAATTTTTCAATAAATATCTTATTCTGTCAACTTGAAAACAATTACTTAAATTAAACGTCCTAACGTCCTTGATTTGTTAGTGTTGTTATTAATAAATAACACATAGACAAATAAAACATTTTTGTCAGCATTTTCCTTACATCAACATGAATGTTCGCAAGTATTACGGTAATATTAATCAAATATATTCCAAACCCGATCAGTGATCCACGAATGAAAGTGCTATCTGTCATCGATCCCGATTAAGTGTGAACTTACATAGCGATTGATATCAGGATCGAAATATAGGTTTATGTACTGCTTCCGTCTTTATTCGATGAACTTTTCAATAGTTTTTTTTTTTTTTTAGTTTTATTATTATTTAAAGACTTCTTTACATAAAAAAAAATAACTTGTCCAATCGGACAAGTGCCCGGCAATATTCACTTGTCCGTAATTTTTTTTCATGGTCACAGGGACAAGCGTTAATAGCCCTGCTTTGACTGCTTATATTTAAAGTGATCACATCTACTGAGTGCACATTGTCATGTTGAAAATGCAACTTTATAATGTCCTAGTGGGTAAAAAAAAACTACCTCCTCCTTCATGTTCTGTATGTGTTATACTGTAATAAAAATTCATTGCAATCATTTGCCTTTTAAGAAATCATAAGTCAAGGTCAGATTATTTATTTTCTATATTTACCACGTGGTAAATATATTTATTTTCAACATTTTCAAGGACAGATTACGTATATCACAAAATTTTTGACTCGTCAGGTACATATGTAATTCCTAATCATGCAAAAATCTGTATCAAGCGTACTGAAATTGTTTATCTAACTGCATACTGTATTTAAAATTTTAATTTGTACAATGCACATTAACTTGCATTATTATAAACTTAAATTCAACATTAAACATAAAATCTAATGCCTATTTTATACAAATGGTTACTGATTCGATTATTGGCTGATGATCAGTTGGTTTGAGTCAACCAATGCTGCCGATTAATTGATTCTGATTTTCAACCGATTTGACAACACAATTCTTAGGGGAAAGCATTACATACAAAAAATAATACCCAAAGCAAGTGAGAAATAAGGGGCATTGCAAATCAAAAGTTTTTATAATGAATAGATCTAAAGTTCTCTTTGCAAATTTTCTTAAGCAGAGAGCTACAGTTCTGCAGCTAGTATATTTCATGTTACCTAAGAAACTATTTTCATCAGTAAACTGTAATGGGAATGAACTAGGTGAAGTTTGCACTTGTTTTCTCTTTGTTTTACAGAGTGGGTGAAATCCTGCTGGGACAATGACTTTGCAGAATTTCCTGAATTAGAACCTCTAGTGGAGTCTGACATCTTGGAGAATGAGTATCATGTACAAAACCTGTATCCCCTTTTATCTGTCATGGATGACTGGATTGATAATAAAGAGGGCCAAGAAGGGGAAGGTAAATGCTAGTTTACAGCATGTTTTAATGTTTTTCTTTAGACTTGAAATACGGTAGATGCGTAGTTATAGCAGCACAAACAGAAGTTAATGTAACGATTCAAATTTGATTGTCCATGGTACTGTATTAAAAGTGTGTTTTGGGCACTTTGCTGTATACATGTATTCAGTAAATTGTGACATACGTATTTTTATACATGTAAGTACAAAGATTCAAAAATAGCTAAAGAGAATCATTTTGGAACATTAAAAGTGTTGATATATTTAACCTACCCTATAGATAAACAATAGATACTAATGATATTTTACTTGAAGGTTTCTGGATGGTATTGGTAGAGAATGACTTTTCTCACAAAAACTTGATAGCGCTCCTGGCATATTTAGTGGAAAATGGAAGCAAGGTAAAGAATGTAACTTTTAACATTATGTTTAAGTTCTTGCTAATCTGAATTTATACAGGTTGTAATACTTTTATGTTAATTGCAGTTTGTTATATGCAAGGTTGGGTGTTGAAATTTTAAAGATCATCCTAAAGATTAAATATTGATACATTTAATGAAAATGCATAAATTGGTATTATTTTTCAATTTGTAGAAAGGATCAAGTGTTCAACAAAAAGAGGCTGCTTTACTGTCTTCATGCAATTATTTCAAGCTGCTGACCATTCCAGGTTTGAAATTTTAAAAATAAGATCGTTTCACCATTTAATCACCTTACATGATAAACTATTTTTCATTTTTAGAGAGTCCCACTCTAATTTGCATCTGATTTTCTGTCTTTGTAGGAAGTACAGCATTCAAAATCTTCCACCCAGTTTTGTTTGAGAAATGTGTGGATAATTTAAAACAATTGAAGACACAAGGTACATTTCTGATTTCACTCATCAACAATTCTTTTTTTTTTCAAAATTATTCAAATACTGTAATTTTAATCCTGTCAATTGCCAGAATGTGTGTCCAATGTCCAGAATATAAGGTATTTATATCTTTAACAAACTGGGACAGGGAAAAGAAAGAAAAGTGTATCGCCTGCTTGCAGTCAGAAGAGAAAGAAAAACAAAGCCAACAAAACACAGAGGTCGAGAGACTCTACTGGCAGTATAGAGGTACCTATACCATGTACAATGTTCAAATAATTACAGAGCATAGATGTTCCAGTTATACGTAATTGATTATATAGTGCATACACAATAATGTCCATTTAAAAAAACAAAACTAGGGAAAAAAAATTATAGCAAAAACTTTGTTTATGGTTTATACATGCTAAGTACACCTGTGTGTTCCTTTAACAATAAGCAATATAGAGAGAATGTTTTCATTTTTAAAAACAGGAATTCCAAGATGACAGTAATATCGAAGAAGACATGTCTCCTCAAGAAATTAATAAACTTAACAAACTGTATCTGTCAGTCCTACAGGTAATTCAACCTTATGAGTAAATGTACCCGCATGGTGTAGGTATTAAAGGTACTAGTATTTTCTCTTTGTAAATTTAACTGATGCTTTCCTTGCTGGTAATCTATATTCTTTGTCTTCTTTAGAAGTCTCATGTTCATTGAATCTTTTTTTGCATGCTTAGCACTCGTTGGATATGATTTCAAAATTTCAGTTATCTAAATTCTTACAAACAGGTACCTCTAGTTGTTATGAATTATTCTTTGCTGTCTTTGTTTTGCCAGGATTTGGTCAGTCTGTTGATGGTTACCTCCCTCAGACAGTCGGAATCCTCCACCTACCACACGGTACAGGTGCTACATAGAAGATAATGTAAACCAGGCAGGGGCCAGAACTCTCCAGTTAAAGATGGAAATTTTTGGAGTTTTACCAGTGTGTGTGTTATCAAATCTCCAGGGAATAAGGCACAAGAATTAAAGATCTCTCTTTTTATACTGCAAATTAATTGTGTGTTCATCACATAATTATTTGAATATTGTAACATTTTGTACTTGTGTCAAACTATCGGATTGATAAAGAAATGACATTATGAATTAGTCTTTATTTATTTTTCAACTAATCAAAACAATATTTGTAGTGAGAAAATACATCTGAAAAACATACCAACTGCAGGACTGGCTTATAAGGTAACTACAACATATATGTACATGTAGTGTGGTGTCAAAACTACAGTTATTCTTTTGGACTTGTAAGAATTTTGAAACTTTAATTTTGAAAGCAGATTAACTAGGTATTCTATATTATAACATCTATTGTATTTAAAGCTACATTTAATGGTCTTAATTCACATTTTTAGGGCTTACAACTGCTTAGTCAGCCTCTACATGGTCATGTGAATACAGTTATCAATGCAGTAAGTGAAGGGTACCCTTTATTTGTCTGAGGATTCTTTATAATCTTTTGTTAATTATTATATTTGCAGAAAAATGAATTCTCATTCATTGATTTTTAGATTTGTAAGTGTCTTCTCCCTAACCTGTTGATGCTGATGGGAGACAACAGAGTGGCAGCCCAGACTATCCCTCGACCTGTCCAGATGGCAAGAGATCAAGCCATAAACTTCATCATGTCAGTGTCTCTTTCTTATCCAATAGTTGTAAATCCGATCATTTTGTTCATGTGTTTTTCAATTAAACCAAATTCTTTTTTGTGTTGAAAAGTTGCCAATTTAAATTGAGACTTTGGAAAACTTAGAAGAATGATAATAATATGACCTGATTTACCTGTCCTGTAGATATCTGATGAAGTCGGAGGCCCGCTCCCTGTCCAGTATAAGAACACTTCTACAACACCTGTGTACTAAAGTTACCGATAGAGCAGAGTACCGCACAAAGGTGGCTCAGGTAAGTAATTGTTTATACAGATATTTGTGAACAAAAATATTACACAAGTAATGCATGGTCTGTAAATATAAATGATTAAAATGGAGTATTTTGTGTGTAAACATACATGAACTATATATGAAAAAAATCATAATGCAATAATTTAGAAGTAAAAAAGGTCTACAAAGTGAAGTGTACTCATTACTGCTAAGTGCTTTCAATTGAAAATGGTCAGAGGAAGCTGCAGTGATGACTTAAATTATTAAATCAAATTGCACCATAATAAAAATGCATGAATTTTATTTTATACAGTTTTAAAAGCTGTTTTTGAAAATCATTTGCACAGAAAGATATTATTACTGTTCAATAACTACAGGTTTACATGTATCTACATGTATTTGCAGGCAGTGGTTAGTATCCTTCAAGAGATGCCCAGTGACCAGTATGGTAAAATGGTAGAATGGTTTTACCGGCTTTCTAAGCATGCAAAGGTATGCATAAATTAATTATTTGAATGTATTTGTTAATAAAAGTGTACTTGAATTTTCAGATTTGTAGACTTGAATTTTTGAATCCATATGCCTATACAATTTGAATTAGCTTGGATAAGATAATACCCTTTTCAAAATTTTACTTAAAAATTGAAATTACTTTATTTTTTGTGTTTTGGTCAATACTTTTATTGAAGGAAATTTTGGATAATAAATGAATCAATCTACTGTAAAATTTTTGCAGATGAATAACAGAGCATTCACCCTGGAGGTTGTTTCTTTGTTACTTAACTTACCAGAAAGGGAAGTTGATGGTAAATACTTGAATACATGTACATGTTTATTTCTTTTTAAAGTTTTCCTTGAATTAAGCCTGTATACTTATACATTTGGTGTATGGATTTATTAATAGAAAAATCCTTTATGAATTGATTTTGCAAATATTTTAATATATTGCAGCAATTTTCTGTTTCAGTCAAAATATATAGATATATTTCTTACCTGGTGATCATGAAAATTTCATTCTTGCATGTACTTGTCATTTAACTGCAATTGTATTGAGGATTGTATACATTAATAAACAATTTCATAAAACTATTTTTCTTATAAATACCAAATAATGTCTTATTATTAAGGAAATGTGAAAAATTAGTGATCTCTAGTACAGTATATTCTAGATTTCTTTTCATTAAATTCTCTTGATCTATCAGGTAATATTCCACCTGAGACAGCCTCCTATATGAAGCACACTTCCCTGCTTGGAATTTTATTGGACAGGTGCTCAGACGCTGCCCCAACGTAGGTTACACAATAAATTGATGCGTTTTGTGACAAACTCACTTGCATATTTTTTGCTAACATGTTTTAGTAGAGGTGTATTACATGTTAGGCATTACATGTATTTGATTTTTTTAACATTTTAAAACACCATTTTTATGTACATGTAAATAGATTTTACAGTCATCTGTAGAGATAAATCATAATTTCTCAAACAAATAAATGTTGAACAGATAATTTTACACCTTGTAGTGTCAGAGCACGAGCCATTACAGCCTTCTCCCAGTGTTTTACCACTGCAGACATGGGGATAAAGAACACGCTGAAGGAGATTGTGACCCCCGTGATGGGCCCCAGACCAGCTCATGCCCCACATCTGATCCCCACCCCAGACATGGGCAACAGGGCACAGTCCATGGTTGAAAGTAGGTATTGGTTACAGAAAGGAGTTTAAACAGATTGGATGTTAGACTCACTGCAGATATTTTGCTAATGGTAGTCTTGTATATATACATGTAGATAAAATTTACAATGTAAACAACATTATTCATATACATGTATAAGTTACAAGTACATGAATAGAGATCTTTTTGAAATGTACATTTGAGAGCAAGAACTGGTACACACCCACTATTTTTCTACATTAAAAATAGAAAAGAGCATATATTTATTAACAATGAACATTGCATAAAATATTTTTATACCCCGCCTTGAATATGGCTGGGGCATATAGTTTTTGTCATGTCCGTCTTCCGTCTAGCTGTCCTTCCGTCACACTTTGCGTTTAGCTCTGTTCAAAGCTAAGTTTCAAAGAAACTATCCAAGATATTTTCATCAAACTTCATATGCTGAACCAACTTGCATGGATGATGCAATCTAGGGATGGACACGACCAGACTTGCTTCGGATGCTGGATCTGACCTACATTTTTATTCCCTAGTAACTATAAGCCCTACCTGAACCAAACTTGCATGGATGATGCATCTAGTGATAGACACTACCAGACTTGCTTCGGATGCTGGATCTGACCTATATTTTCATTTACTAGTAACTATAAGTCCTACCTGAACCAAACTTGCATGGATGATGCATCTAGGGATGGACACTACCAGACTTGCTTCGGATGCTGGATCTGACCTATATTGTCATTCCCAAGTAACTATAAGCCCTGCCTGAACCAAACTTGCATGGATGATGCATCTAGGGATGGACACTACCAGACTTGCGTCGGATGCTGGATCTTACCTATATTTTCATTCCCAAGTAACTATAAGCCCTACCTGAACCAAACTTGCATGGATGATGCATCTAGGGATGGACACTACCAGACTTGCTTCGGATGCTGGATCTGACCTATATTTTCCAAACAAGCAATTCAGCTGCATCACTATTCAAGATAGTCTGATCTAATTTTATACACATAGAAATTTTCATGTTGCTTTACTAATATATCCTCGGCGGAGCATTCATGTCCTATGGACATATTTCTAGTTTTAATCAGCTTTTATGGACATTTACTTCATATAAAATTAATAAACTGTATAATGATGTACTTTATGTGCACTCTACACATAGATCCAATAAACAATCCACATGATTATTTGTAAGAAAAGTATTGTCTGAGAGAAATATATAACATGTATCTGTTTTAGTGACTGTGAATGAAGCCAGCACAGATAAAACATCAGAAAATGCACAGCCTATGGAGGGTAATGATGAAACCCCGGTCAATCCTGCCCCACGGGTTATTCCAAAGACCCCCTTCCATCAAGTGGTCCTAACACCCTTTAATCCCAGTAAGTATAGTCATATGTAATGAATCTGCAATTAAAGTTCTGAAATATCTAAAGCATAAATATAATCTGTAATGAAACTGAAATGATTTAATACATTTTTTTTTAAAAAAGATGAAGCTAAATGTATTATTAATCTGTAGAAATGAATGTAATTTCCACTGTTTTGAACACATATAAATATTTAAGCATCTTCATGATCTTTGTGCCCTTAATTGAAAAAAAAAATAAAACAATAATTTTATGTTTTGCAGACCTACCTGATGAGCAGGGAGTCCTGTCGATGTTGAGACGTCGAGCTCGAGATGAGAAGGTTAACGTGAGGAAGGCTGCCCTACAAGCCCTGGAGTGTGTCATCAAGTTTGAGGCACCAGATTACAGAAGACAGGTTAGCAGAATTTCTCGCATTATAGATGTTTAATTGATTTTATTTAAGAAACTTGTTAAATGAAGAAAAGTTAATAGGCATTGATAATTTATTGAATTGATATATAAATATGCACTGGGTATATACGTGCACATCAAATGTGTTTCGAATGTACATGTATATTGTAGGACCTGGATGTGTTGGTGGAGAGATGTCGTGACCCAGCCCTGTCTGTCCGTAAACAGGCCATGCAGAGTCTAACTGACCTTCTGTTCTCCATGCCTACAGAGAAACCTCTACAAAAGTTAGTCACAATATATAACATTTTGTTTGATTTCTAATCTTGATTTGATACAGGATTGGCCCTCAGTGTAATGTGTATGAATATTTTTTAGGTGTTGGCTGGATGGAGTTCTTCCCCTTGTCATTGATCGAGAGACAACACTACAAGAGAAATGTATGGAGACACTGGAGGAAATCATCCTTAACAACATTGTCCCTTTCAATAGGTGGGTAATGTTAGTAAAGAAATGGTATAATTATGAGTAAAAATCGATTTATTTAAAATATGAGCAGTTTTATTAAGTAAATTTGAGCAACTTTTTGCTTCTCAGATCAAAGGATGAGGGTCATGAGCTTGTTTGGAACATTTTACAAATTATGACTCAGTTTGAAAGCTGTGATTTAAGGTACAGTAAAAAAAAATTTGATTGATATTCCTTGTGATTGTTCATGTACATGTGTATATATTTCGAACATAATACTGCATGTAATTTTACAGGCGATACCTACAGAAGGCTTGCAGACACTGGGCCCGTGTTGGGAAGATCAAATCAAACCTCATTACTTCTTTAGAGTCCCATGTTGAGACTAAGAATAATGAGGTCTGTGTAAATATGAATATTATTCAAATATTTCTAAAACTGTTCCAACTTGGATTTTGCAAAATGCCAGCTTTGGTATCAGTACTAAAGGCAAATAAATTGAATACAAGATTAACAAGTTGAGGTGTTATTGAAAATTTTTGTTCTGCAAAGTTTATAGTGGACTTTAGATGTACAATATATCCTACTGATTTTTCTATGCCATGTTTCAGGCCGCCTGGATGTTGCTAGCTGAACTGGCTCCAGCTGTGCAAAAATTCAGCCATGGATTCATTGTGAAATACTGGGAAAAGCATGCTGGCAGTACAAATGGTAAAAATCAGTGTTATTTTAATCTTATAGATGTTTGTTCTGCTCAGTGACTTGAAATTTTGAAAATTCCTTTGGTATTTCAGAAACGGAGTACTACACACTACAGAGGGTGTTAACAGTGATGGGTTGCTGTGCCAGACATATCCCTGCAGATCAAAGAGACCTATTAATTGGTAAATTATTCATTTATTATACAACTCTCTATTGTGATTTAGAGTAGGAATTATTGTTAAGATAACACCAAAATAAATTATTCCATAACAGAAATAGTTTGTTTGTTGTTTTTTGGGAGTGGGTGTGTATTTTTTCCACTTTCTTTCTGCACAATAATAAAGAAGTATTGTAATTGTAGAACCTTCAATAATCACTTGAGTGTTCCCATACATTTTTATCTTCATGAGGAAAAGTCAATGGACAGTTCATGTTTCCTAATTCATGTATAAGCCATGGACATATTGAAATAAAAAAAAAAAATTTTCTTCCAAAATTCTGTTTTGCAGAGAACCTGAAAGACAAACTGAAGAAGTTTGATTCTCCTCCAGAACTGATATCCACAACCATTAACACTCTGTCCAAGGTAACAAAGTCCACATGATTTTTCTTTAGCTAAAGTCTACAGACTCCCCTTTTATTAATTTAGCTTGTTACTTCTAGTTTAGTTAGTTTGACTGATTTTGTTTTAAAGTTATGTGAAGCTAAGGCTGAAGCTCTAGGATTGGCCAGTGAAAGAGAGGCTTGGTGCACTGACCTCTTGACCTCATCGGACAAGTACCTGTCCAAAGTCATCCTTCAACAAGATGGTATTTTGACAAATTATATTCCTACTGAGGAAAATGTTTTCTTTCTTTTTTTTATCACCAATTTTTTGATCAGCATGTCAAAGAGCATGGATAATATATCGTAGCAACATTTTCAATGAACTTGAATTTTCATGGCCAATAAATACATGTAACTTGATTTGTAAGACATTTTCTCTGTTTGCTTGTAGGTGGAGTGATAAATGAAGATCTGGTTATACGTCATCTTTTCACTCTGGGAGAAATTGCCCAGCTGTGCCCTGCCAGGACCCCTAAACGGATTTACCTGATTGTACAGAGTATGGTGGCAGCCCCCTGTATCACAGTGGCCCCCTCTCAGACTGTCCTACCCTCCCAAGGTACCATTGTGACTTTTACATTTGTACTCATATGAATATTGTGAATTTTATTAATTGATTAATATTTAAAAATGCTTGTTAATACAGTAATTAATTGTGTGTTTCTGGCAACATAAATCACACATTACACTGTAAAATACTTGATTTTATACCTTTACATTTTCTTTGTAGCACCACACGAAAATGTCAGTGGATCATCTCACAATAGCTCTCATGGAAACCATAGCGGGGAATCCACTCAAAGTGCTGGGGTAAAACAGAATGCATAGATACATACATGTATACATCTGTTTTTTTTTTTAAATAATTGTATCATCTTTGATCTTTGTTCACCCTTCATCTTCATTAACTTCTTAGATTTTAAATACCCTTTTACATCAGAGAAACCACTAGAGATGGATATTTTTTTTGAGGAACGTAAAGATGGTACTCTAAAACTACATGTATTATGAATATGACAAGTACATAAACTGTGTTTGCTTTATTAGGCTCATATTTCTGGATCTTCCCAACAAACTCAGTTTACACAGTTCACTCAGTTGACACAATTCAGGGGATCAAAAATGTCTAATAGGATCAGAGCCTTTGCCTTCATTGCACTTGGTAAGTCTTTATTGGAAATGAATGATGATTCTTTATTCATAATTGAACATTCTCAAAATGTACCACATTTACATTTACAGGCAAGTTGTGTCTACAGAATGCAGAGCTAGCTAAGAAGTGTGTTGCAGCCCTGGCCCGAGAGCTAGAGATTTCCCCAGATCCTACCATCAGAAATAACATTGTCATTATTCTCTGTGACCTCTGTGTCAGGTTTGATTTCATTTTGGTATTTCACGTGTGCAATGATTTAGTTTTGTTTTCACTAGACAGTAGTTTGGATCACTTTGATATAGCTAACTTGACAGTTGGTATGTTACATGTTATAGGTACACTACTACAGTGGAGCAGTATATGCCCTCCATTGCCGCTTGTTTGAAGGATGAGGCGCCCCTTGTCCGTAAACAAACCCTCATCCTGATCACTAGACTTCTGCAGGTATGCCTATTTCATCATTTATGTTTAACTGATTAACAAAAGAAAGAAACAGGGATAACTATTTTGTAAGAAAATATGACATGAAGTTTCTCTGTGTACATACAGGAGGACTTCTTAAAATGGAAAGGAGCTCTGTTCTTCCGATTTATAACAACTCTCCTGGATGAGAAGAAGGAAATCGCAGAATTTGGTAAATATGTGTTTTTTAAAGAATACAATATTACTTACTCATTTACAATTTACACATGTATAGCAAATTCATGGATGGAACAATTTATTTTTGATTCCCAGCAAAACTTTTTTAAAAATTTGGAAAATTTTACTGCTGTTATGACTTTGATATGATGAACTTACAAATATAGTATTTGATTTGGCAAATAAAGTAAATCTATTGCAAATTTGCTATAAATGCTTTAACTTTATGTGTATCATACTTATTCTTACATATACGTATTAACTTTTCCTCAGCTGAATATTGCCTCATTCATGTCCTGTTACAAAGAAAACCAGCCATGTTTTCTAACCATTTCATGGAGTGTATATTCCACTTCAATGCTTATGAGGGCCACTCAGGTAATTTTTATGTCTTGCATCTAAACATTCTGATTTACAAGAATCTATACTATATATACTGTAAATATGTATGTGTGAAAGTGTATGTTTCATAGAATATGACTTTTGGATTTCTGATCTCGAAAGCTTTCAATTTCTTTTATGCCCCCCTTCGAAGGGAGGGCATATTGCTTTGCTGCTGTCTGTCGGTCCGTCTGTCGGTCCACTTAGTTTCCGTTCATTTTCTTCGCAACCGTTGCACATACTGAAATGAAATTTGGTGTACAGATACATCACATGAATATCTAGTTCAAGTTCTGCTTTGGGTACAATCGCACCATTTTTGACAGAGTTATGCCCCTTGGACTTAGAAAAATTTCAATTATTAGCAGTTTCCGCTCATTTTCTTTGCAACCATTGCCCATACTGAAATCAAATTTGGTATACAGATATATCACATTATTATCTAGATCAAGATCTGTTTTGGGTACGATCGCACCATTTTTGACAGAGTTATGCCCCTTGGACTTAGAAAAATTTCAATTATTTGCAGTTTCCGCTCATTTTCTTTGCAACCGTTGCACATACTGAAATCAAATTTTGGTATACAGATATATCACATTAATATCTAGGTCAAATTCTGTTTTTGGTACAATCGCACCATTTTTGACAGAGTTATGCCCCTTGGAGTTTGAAAAAATTCCAATTATTTGCAGTTTCTGTTCATTTTCTTTGCACCCGTTGCACATACTGAGATGAAATTTAATTTACAGATATATCACATTAATATCTAGGTCAAGTTCTGTTTTGGGTATGGTCACATCCTTTTTTCAGAGTTATGCCCCTTGGACTTATGAAAAATCCTATTTGGGTGGAGTGGGGCATAAGTGTTTTACAAACATCTCTTGTTTTCTTTGGTCCATTAAACTTAAATTTTTTTTTGAGTGATTTGTATTTGATACATAAATATGTATATTAACATAAATGCCAGTTTCCTTGTTTCTGTGCAATTTGTTCTTATACATTTTATCACATGTAATTCATTTATATGGTCAGTGACACTTACTAGAATCTGTATTTTTCAGCCTACAATAAATTTGCACAGAATGAAAGAGAAAAGAAAATGTTTTCATTACATGGAGCAGCTAAAGAGAAGTATAATCATTTTTATATGCATGTACCTTGTATTCAAATGTAGGAAGTATACTATCTGAACTAAGATTGACCTTGTTAAGAAACATGAGGCAATATAAGAATATGCTTGTGAATTTATTTACCACTTTGAAGTTGAAGTCAATTGTAAATACATGTAAATTCCTAAGCAAACAATCAGTTTATTTTCACATCAGTACATTTGTGCCCTTCTTTTATTTAGAGACAGATTGAAGCTCTACTGCTTTATGCTGGAGCACATGACAGATGAACAAAGATTTCACATGACTGCAAAGATTTGTACTGAGGTAATGATTACCATCGCAACAGAAAATAACACACTAGTGCATGAAAATAATTTTCGTTTTAAGACCTAAAGCCTTAATTTTTTATGTTAGCTCACCTGAGCCGAAGGCTCAAGTGAGCTTTTCTGATCACATTTTGTCCGGCGTCCGTCTGTCTGTAAACTTTCACATTTTCGACTTCTTCTCAAGAACCGCTTGGCACACAAACCAAACTTGTCACAAAGTATTCTTGGGTGAAGGGGATCAAGTTTGTTCAAATGAAGGGCCATGCCCTCATTCAAGGGGAGATAATTTAGAAGGGTGAAAATTTGGTGGCAAGTTTTAAAAAGCTTCTCCTCAAGAACCACAGTGCCAGGAAAGATTAAACTTATGGGGAAACATCCTCAGGTAGTGTAGATTCAAATTTGTTCAAATCATGACCCCCGGGGGTAGGGCAGGGCCAAAATGGCCGACCTAAGTTTTACATAGAAATATATAGGAAAATTCTTTAAAAATCTTCTTCTCAAGAACAACAAAGCCATAATTGATCACATTTATATGGAAGCATCCTCAGGTAGTGTAGATTCAAGTTTGTTCAAATCATGACCCCCAGGGGTAGGGTGGGGCCAAAATGCCCGACCAAAGTTTTACATAAAAATATATAGGAAATTTCTTTAAAAATCTTCTCCTCAAGAACAACAAAGCCATAATTGATCATATTTATATGGAAGCATCCTCCGGTAGTGTAGATTCAAGTTTGTTCAAATCATGACCCCCGGTGGTAGGGCGGGGCCAAAATGGCCGACCAAAGTTTTACATAGAAATATATAGGAAAATTCTTTAAAAATCTTCTTCTCAAGAATAGCTAGGCCATAATTGATCATATTTATATGGAAGCATCCTCAGGTTGTGTAGATTCAAGTTTGTTCAAATCATGACCCCCAGGGGTAGGGTGGGCCCAAAATGCCCGACCAAAGTTTTACATAAAAATAGATAGGAAATTTCTTTAAAAATCTTCTCCTCAAGAACAACAAAGCCATAATTGATCATATTTATATGGAAGCATCCTCAGGTAGTGTAGATTCAAGTTTGTTCAAATCATGACCCCCGGGGGTAGGGCGGGGCCAAAATGGCCGACCTAAGTTTTACATAGAAATATATAGGAAAATTCTTTAAAAATCTTCTTCTCAAGAATAGCAAGGCCATAATTGATCATATTTATATGGAAGCATCCTCAGGTAGTGTAGATTCAAGTTTGTTCAAATCATGACCCCCAGGGGTAGGGTGGGGCCAAAATGGCCAACCAAAGTTTTAGATAGAAATATATAGGAAATTTCTTTAAAAATTTTCTCCTCTAGAACAACAAAGCCATAATTGATCAAATTTGTATGAAAGCATCCTCAGGTAGTGTAGATTCAAGTTTGTTCAAATCATGACCCCCAGGGGTAGGGCGGGGCCACAAAATGGCCGACCAAAGTTTAACATAGAAATATATAGGAAAATTCTTTAAAAATCTTCTCCTCAAGAATAGCAAAGCCATAATTGATCATATTTATATGGAAGCATCCTCAGGTAGTGTAGATTCAAGTTTGTTCAAATTATGACCCCCAGGGATAGGGAGGGGCCAAAACGGCCGACCAAAGTTTTACATAGAAATGTATTGGAAAATTCTTTAAAAATCTTCTCAAGAATAGCAAAGCCAGGATTGGTCATGGGACTACTTTTGGATTTAAGCTTTTCAAGTATAAACCAATTCTGCTTTTTCCTAGCCACAGTGCTCAGGTGAGCGATGTGGCCCATGGGCCTCTTGTACATTTCAGATCTTAGGAGGAATAGTGGACAATATAATACCACTGGACAATGCAAGTTCAGCTCTTCTCAAAGATGCTCTTGCTATTCTAAGTTGTAAGGTAGGAAGGCTTTCTGACATGAGTTTGTAATTACATGTAGTACCCGGTATTTATCCCCATTGCATATTTATGAAATAACCTTTATGATGTTTATGCTTACTTTTGCTTCAGGAAATCAAGCTGTCCTCTCTGAAGGCTAAGCCACAGGAGGATGCTGGTGGAGACGAACAAGAAATGGCAGCCATTGTCATAGCAACAGCCAAGAAAACACTTATTTCACAAGTAATCAGACTATAATGCCTGTAGTTATCAGCAATTTTACAAGAATATTGTTTACATGTATTTACAGTATTGGTACCACATGTAAAAGATGAGTTGTCTAATTATAATTGTTTTACAGGTGGTGAAAAAGAACGTTATAGAAAATATTGTGCCCATTGTTGTATCACTGAAGCACATGGTAAGAGTGAAAATTATTTCTAAAGCATCTCTGAGTTTGTCTGAAATTGACACCAAGTCCATGATCATGAAAATACAGGAGTGTAAATGAAAAGTTACAAAGTTTAATAACATTCTTACAGCTTGAAAAGCACAGGTCACCAGTTCTGAAGGACTTGATGTGTTATCTTAGAGAACTCATGCAGGACTACAAGACAGAAGTTAAAGGTTAAATATTACGTCTCCCCATACTAATGTTTTTCTTCATTCACAAACAATTTAAAAATTCCTGTTGATGTATTTGTTCCTTTCTGCAACAGAAGCCATTGTAGCTTTTACAGTTGTTCTTGATTTTCTTTTATAAACAGATATCTTGTCAGCTGATAGACAGCTAGCAAAGGAGATTGAGTTTGATCTCCGGAAGTTTGAGGAAGAACAAGAGGAAATGAGGAGACAGCAGGATCAACAGAACACTGTACAGAGTCTTCAGGTATCGAAGCAGTCCATATCCTTTTGAAGGCAGTAGTGCAATAAACTAAATTTTGCACAAACTGGCTTCATATAGCCAAGATGTTTTCTTTTCCACAGCTTATTAAAATGACTTGGTTCTTCTAAAAACAAAATCAGATTTCTGATAATTTTTTTTGTGCCCGTGTGCGTGTTTGAAAAATTTATGTAAAAAAAAGTTTTTGAAAGCAAATTGAAGGTGAATGCATTATTGATGTCTGAATTAATGAGTTTCTACAATAATATTTCTTAGCAATAAATACAGAATTCATGATATGCAGAGCAATATACTAGTACATCATTTATCTATTGAGCTAATAATCTCTGATAAACAGATATAAGATGATTCATAGTTTTGTGTGATTACCAGGGAACACCCGGGTCTAGCCCCAGACCAGTTGTGATGGGACCATCGCCTAGGTCCCCCCAGATCACCCCCCTATCACGACCCCCAGCACATACCAGATCACTGGCCAACAGTCCTGTGGGTCAAAGACAAGGCTCTACGGGGTAAAAATTCTATTTTGAGGCCAATTCAATTATTTAACTGCCTGAGGAGTATAATAATCACTGAGACAGAATTTTTAATATTAAACCCTTGGTAAATTTTGTTTTTGGAGCGCTGTTAGGTTATTGGATTAACTAATACTTATGAAACAGCAGTTTTAATATATGAATCAAAGATTTAATGATTTAAAATTAAAAAAAAAACTTTGCCTTCTTACTTGATTGTTTAAAGCTGATATGAATATTAAAAGCTGTTTTGATTTGGAATTTTTTGATACATTATACTGATGTAGAAAAGTTATTTTGAAGAATTTATTCTCTTTAAGCTTCAGCTACAGTGTATTTACATTTCAGGCCAAGTTCCCCAGTTTCTGTTCAGTTGAACAAGACTGCACCTTTGCCAATGAGTGTTGGATCCAAGGACTTTACTAGGTGACTGAAATTTACATGTTTTTAATAAAGTGCAAAGTGCAGAAAAGACTGGCCATGGTTTACCACACAACAATAAAAAGTACCCTTTGTTAATACAATTGTGTAAAATCATTTACAGAGAAACATATGAAAGAAGTTGAATGCATTATTAATTGTATTTATCACTTCTACCATTACAGAGATCAGTCCTTGTCCACCCTTGCTATACTGAACTCTGCCAGAAAGGCTTTCTTAAAAGCCAAGGAAAATAGCCCAGTCAGAGCTAGTAAGACAAACCGGAGGAAATCCAGTCTGGCTACTACAGAGGAGAAATCAACAGAGAGGGAGGAGGAGGAGACCCCACCCCTCACTGTCAGGGTAACTCCACTTACATTTATATAAATTCTTTCAAGGGTTTTTGTAGCTTGTACAAAACCAAGGCCTACAAAACATTCAATTCCCTGTTTGTTTATACATTTTCTTTTGTTGTCCCTGAGCGCTGTGACTTCTTAGCTGAGAGTTTTGAGATGTCCTTGCTAAGGCTTTGTGAACTTGGAATTTGTAAACATGGATTTTAACAACAATTTGGAAAAAGTTTGAATATTTATTTAATCTGTGTCAGGACTGTTTATTTACTTACTCATCTATCTATGAGGAGTATTTCCTTATAACACTCCTTGTGAAGGGAAGGAAAGTTTCTCATTTTGTTGCAATTTTTATTTTCACTAAGGAAAATGTCACTCAAGATGTTTTTCACTTTGAAAATTTCACATTTTATTTTTGGGGGATAAATTACATTATTTCAATTTTCATTTTATACTGATATGTAACAAATGAAGGACTGGTGTAAATTAAATACTCTTACACTGTAGTAGGAAAAGTTGTCTCTCTTTATATTTGTCTCTTCTCTGCTACTACTTTTTATAAGAGTTTCAAAAGACGGTACATGTATATTGTTTTATTCATTTGTGCATCAATCTTTATCACTTTCGTATCATAAGAATTTTTAATTTTTTTTTAAGATCTTCAAACCACTAAAAAAAACAAACAAAATGTGTGTCAGACCAAGTAATTGTGTTAAAATTTTGGATTATTAAAATGGCTTTGTTTGATTTAAAATCTTTTATTTTATCTTTGTTCAGTTCTCAGCAGATTTGCCCTCGGGGTCCTCAGACAGTGTTTCTACTCCACCCCGTGCCACTAGATCCACCAACAGAGCCATCAGCACCCCTACTGGTAAAATCGTAGATGATTACTTCAAATATTAGACTAATTTATGCTTCTTATAATAGTAATATCTTCATTTACATTGGAATGTTCCTTTTGGAAATCATGACACCTTGATCTATTTAAATATTTGTTACAGGAGCTGAAAGTAAGTCAGATTATACACATATGAGGGTTGATCCAAAAGTTCGTGGAATTTCTTTCTAAAATTTTATCGTGATTTGATAAAAGCAAACAACATGCATATTCATAATATAGAGTCATAATGCAACAATACTGGAAAATTTCACCACGTTACATTTACCAATAAGGTCACACGAGCTTTCTGAAAATGGATAGTTGTGAAACCCGGGGGAGACTTCGACGTAACGTCAAATAAGATATGTCACGTCACGTTATAGAAGCATCTCACCCTAATGTACAATTCGAACACATAATTCTACAAAATGCTGCCTCTTCTATATTTTTTTTCTCATGAAAAGCTTGGGTATCCTCTCGCACCAACTTATATTCATTTTTCACTCATTTTTCTAAACACTCCCCATCTTTCCATATGATGTTCCGATTTCATTAGCAATGTCAAGAACAGTACGTCAGCCGACAAAGTCAGTGAACGCTTTTAATTTGTTTAGGGTGATAAACACTTAAAACAGAGCCTCAAAAAGGCGACCACACCTTTAATCAACGTCCATGGAAGTTCTATTTGTCTTAATTTTTTTTACAGCACTGGAAAACCAGTAACTAAATGCATTTTCCCCCAGTCTATGTTGATAATATAGGCATGTAACATAGAGTGATCCCAGGATTTTCACAAAACTGATGACTTGACCGAAATCTGACATTGTATAACAACCTAAAGATGAACAATAAATTATCAACTAATAAACATAATATCCAGTAAAATCAGTAAAACTCACATACAAAGGTTTATAAAAGATCAAGCAATCGTAATAATGACATAATTTTCGTTTTCTATACCACAAAGGGCGGTTTTATTCTCATTTCAAGTATTATGAATTAAAATGATAATAAACATGTTGATGTCTCCCCCGCATTTCCAAACATTCATTTCTATGGCAACTGCCATAGAGTTACTATCACAAATATTTAAAATATTTTTTATTTAAAATATTCAACTAGTGTCTGTATTCTCATTTGTAATTTTCAACTAATTTCACTTATAAATAAATAAAATATAAAGAAATTCCACGAACTTTTGGATCAACCCTCGTACAGTCAGACCTCGTTATCTCAAACCCAGTAACGTAATATCTGACCATTCAAGGGGTTCAAGGTTTAAAAACATATACAATGTATACAATGGTAAATGTTGTCTGGGCTGTTAAATCACTTTGACCTACATGTACGAGGGTTGATCCAAAAGTAATGTCCAACTTCGATAAAATTTATACTAGTCAACGTAAATCAACATAATTATACATGATTAAAACTATATTTATTACAAATCAGTCCTGATAAATTAAAATAAAAATGATTTATACTTTTCAAAATATCGAATTATATGCAAAGTGCAATTATGGTAGTCGCCGCACCTAAATAACGTCATATGTTAGTATAACGGATACGCACCGTCATACACTCAAACAACTTCCCCTTCGTTTTATTGAAAAAAAATTGAGATTCACTAACAAATTCACATATTTCACTTTTTTCAGGAATATTCTTGGCACACATTGTACACTCATTCTAGATAAAATTTAGTCCTGTGTCAGAATTATTTGAACAGAACCATAAGACAAACTTAAAGTTTCTCATATCGCTCTAAACGTGACACGTCTATCTTTTTTGATGACGTCCGACACTATTGAACTTTATCGACCGACCTTCTTTTTCCGGTCTTACTGTCCTCTGCTGATCCTTCAATGACCCATAATACATAAAAAATTGTGAAACAATTTATAAACAAGTTTTTTTATTTACATTCCTTCCTCTGTATGTCTGATAAAAACATCAAAACTGTCTCTTCTAGCAATTTCCCCATTTCGAAGCGAAAACCCATTAGTTCTCTTCAGTGTATTTTTCCCCATTTCGACATTTCCCTTGTTCAATAAGTCAGATTAAAACAACAATATTTATTATCAAAAAGCAATGACATCATTTTATTTTCAACTAAAGATTATAAAATGTTGTAAAATTTTGTCTTTTGAAATATTTGGCAATTAGACGCCTTTTTAGGATGCTTTTAATGTATTTATCTTTTTTCATTCTTACAATAAACGTGACGTTTAGTAGTGACGCTGCGACACCCATTGTGTTTAATGTTTTAAACGTCTATAAAATTAATTCAATAAAACATTATTAAATGAAATTTTCAATTTTGATTAGATTTATGTTTATGTATGTTTTGGTACATTATATTTGATAATATGTCACCAAATATTAAAGATATGGACAACAGTGACATTACTTTTGGATCAACCCTCGTATCATTGGTATTTGAGATAACAAAGTTCAACTATACATGTTTTAGCTGCACTTATATCACCTTGAGAGAAAGGGTGCTTCCTAAATATAGATACTTCCTGTACAGCTTCAGTGTTTTTCAGTTTAATATTTCTCTGTATTAAAATATCTTGGTTAAGTTCAAAAGGAAAAAAAATGTTCAAAGGATTAAGTTGTATTTTTGAAACATATGTATGAACTTCCTACAGTGTTGCTGCCTACAAATTCTATATTCATTGCAGTCTCATTTCAGATTAGTGTATTTCTTCAAAACTCACAGAAATCCGACTGATTTCTGACTTTTACTACCTTGAGAGTGAAACATTTGAATTTAAAGATTTATTTACACCATGTGGTTTTCTGTTGGTAGATATCTGTTCTTGTTCTTGGCAGATATCTTGTAATAGCACTTCTGGTGGAAAAGATTGTAACTATGTTTAATTTAGAACTACTGTTTAGTGTCACGTTTTATAAGTGTCCTTTGTGTACAATTGAGAATTTATGTATATTAATTTTATGAACATATGAATTTCAGGTAAAAATTAAATACCTAGTATTTATTTCTTGGAGGAGACTTTGGATTTTATTTTTATGTACTTTTTCTATTTCAGGTGTGCTGGACAATATAACTTTCCACATTGACCAAAATGTGACCCTTATTCCCCCCTCTCCCATCCCCTCCTCTATACCTATCAGGGTATACCCAGCTGATGCTAATTCAGGTACAGTATAATTAGAAACAATCCTGTATGACATTCATGTACATATAAGTAATATGTTTAAGGTTAGGTATATATTCTTCAATGTACTATTATTATAAATTCTACATCTAACTTTTATTGCAGCTCCTCCTACTTGCATAAAAAGGAAGGGGGATAACCAAAATAAAGACTTCATCTATATGTTTTCTCCTGACAAGCCGTAAGTTCATATACATGTACTTCTATATAAAGTCATTATAAAATAGTTTTATGTGATTGTTTTCATAGCTGTTCATATTATTTCATTCTCCGAGTATTGTTATTTTTCAGACTGCCGAAACCAAAAAAGTGGAATGTGACTTCACCGGTAAGAAATTGATTTTACTTTCATAGGAATAAAGAGTGAGTGCACTTATGGGCCCCTGTAAAATGTGAAAAAATAAACAATCAAATTAAGCACAGTTTTTCATCTCAAATCATTAATTGATATCTAAACCTTACGATTCAACAAATTCTACCGCTGAAATCCACGAATATACAAAGAACAAAACCATAGAATGTGGCAGGGGTCAGCCGACATTTGTGATTTTCTATAGTAAATCGAAAACGGTCATTCAATTCAAGGCTTTTGTTTACTATGAGCCTAACTTTGTACAAACTTGTGCGAATGACAAAAGACACATAATACATCTATAAAACTTGTGTGAAAGTAGGAAATTTGTACACAATTAGGCTGGTACATTGTACTTAAAATACTGAAAATGTACAATGTTTTTACGAGAGTCACGTGAGTTCTATCCAGGTAAACATTCCTCAAAGGTGCTCACCGTAAAACATCGGCAGGTTTTGTATCATTTAGTCAAATTTGTGCCGCTTAGAAATATTCGTATGAACACGGGTAGGTATTATTCATAAAAGTGTCAGAAATAATAACATTCATGCAAGACAATGAAACAGGTATTGAAAGCCACCTAAACACTCCTTTTTAATTTTAAATTCAATGAAACTATTATTGTATTTTTTAATGCAAGAGTAGCAATTTCTTAGTTTTTCATTATGGCTACAGGATCACACAACTTCATTCAATTTTTTAATTAACAGATTTGGAACAAAACGTTACATTCCGCAAACACCCCCGACTATGATCCACCATCAGATTGTTCAAGTGTCAATTTAAATACCTATTCCCCTTGATTTACATAAACGAAAGTCAAAGAAGTTTCGGTACGACTTTTCCGGATTTAGGGTATCCATAGGCATTTAAAAATATTCAATTGTTTCAAATCCGTGCTAATTTAGGTGATGCTTAATGTGCTTTTTAATTAGAAATATCCATTAGTATCTAACTATTACCAAAAAAGAACGGTTTGGTTATATATCCTATAGTAAAGTGGCACATAAAAAGGGCCCATTAAGCATGCTTAAGTGCACTTGTCCTTTATGTTTTCAATCGCATTTAATTTTAAATATTTGATATAAAGTTAAACACACTTAAATGATAAATGGATGCTTTTAGTGAGGTGATTTTCATTCTCCGTGGCTTTTAAACATATATTAAAGGTAACATATATTAAGAATTATGTTTTAAATTAAGCAAAGTTGCCTCGCCTTGACACTTTGTTATAAAATTGTTTTACTGTGCTCACTTGTACTTATTTTTTTCCCCCTGAAACTAGGCTCCGGTGCCAAGGAAAAGTCTTGCAACACAGCAGGAGGATGATCTAGTTTCTCTACCAGAGTCAGACACCTCTAAAGAATCAACCGTCGTCAACAAGAAATCGAACCAGACAGCAAGTAAAGAGAAGTCCGGCACCTTAAAAGAGTCATCCATTGCAGCAAGCAAAGAGAGGAGCAGCAAGTCTGGAGGAGGAAGGAGGAGATCAACTAGACGAGGGAGAAAAAAGTAACAGCTGACTGGAATAAAGGTGTAAACAGACTTCTTACTATTAATCATGTGTATAACTGCTTCTGAATCAAATCATGCTATATTAATTTGACTGGCTCAAATAAAAAAAATTCAACAATAGTCACGTATCTGTGTATGTATTTTACTGGATTTTTATAGGGAAAATCTGGTTATTGAATTGGTTAGATAAGTTTATGGATGGCTGCCAATATTGGAACATCATATGGACAAACTTCAAGATTCATTTATCAGCCATTACATCCTGCAGTGTGTATGACAAAAAGAAGTTTTTTTCTGTTCATAAATACATGTATGTATTAAAGAGGTGTCTAGTACTTGGATTTTGATTATTATATGCACATCATCAGTTTCCTTTAAAAATCTTCTTCTCAAGAATAGCAAAGCAATGATTGGAGATATTAATATGAAAGCATTCTTAGGTAGTGTTAAGGCCATAATAAATAAATTGCTAGATTCTCATCCGAATTTTTTCAAAAATTGAGGCGGGCGGCTTTTATTTTATATTTTTTATTTTTTCAATTTTGCAGATTTTTTATTGACCTGGTCAATCGGTGTAATTTTATCTATAATACCCGAATAAAAGTCATAGTAAAGGTTCAATCATCTCTTACTTCACATCATCACCAATCTTTTTCAACCAATGACCCTTGTTTAAAATATGTACGCAGCAATTATAGCAATTACCATCTTTTCAGCTGTCAAAATCATGACTTTCGCAGGATTTAAAACGAATGGTAGATGAATACCGATCCCGATCAGAATTTAGACGAAGAAAAACAGATATTAAAAAAAATCGAGGCGGGGGTAAAAAATCGGGGCGGGCGGGGATGAGAATCTAAGAATATTTTTATTATGGCCTTATTCAAGTTTCTTTATATCATGCCCCCCAAGGACAGGATGAGGCCATAATGGGCAGTAAAAGTTGAATATCGAAATGTGTATGAGCTTGCAAAATAAACAGATTTAAGGTATTCTTGTTTCATTTTAGTTTTACTGATATCTTTTGGCCATTCTTTGAAAACAAATGGCAATCCCTTGCCAGCTTGCTATGCTTTGTACAAATTTCATTTCAATTCATCAAAGCATAGCAAGCTGGCAAGGGATTGCGATAGTAATGCGTCCGTCATCCGTCCGTCTGTCTGTTGTAAACAATTTTTCAAAAGCTACTCCTCCTACAGTTTTGGTCTGATTTCAATATAACTTGGCACACAAGTAGACTACACTAAGATACATAAATCGGTTTTTGATTTCGATGAACGGTGTTGCCGTGGTTACTAAAAATAGAAATTTCTTTGAAATTCTTTCAAAATGCTACTCCTCCTACAGTTTTGGTCCAATTTCAATATTACTTGGCACACAAGTAGACTACACTAAAAATACATAATTCTATGCACATTTCGATGAACGGTGTTGCCTTGGTTACTAAAAATAGAAATTTCTTTGAAATTCTTTCAAAATGCTACTCCTCCTATGGCCTCATATAACTTGGCACACAAGTAGACTACACTAAGATAAATAATTCTGTGGGCATATACGGTGTTTGTCTAAAAATAGAAATGAAATTCCAAAATGCTACTTCCTACAGTTTTGGTCCAATTTCATTATAACTTGTAAGATACATAGTTCTGTGCACTTTGCATTTAGCTCTGTTCTAAAAAAGCTGTAAATTTCAAAGAAACTAACCAAGATATTTTCATCAAACTTCATATGCTGAAATAGATTTTTTGATGAGAGCTAATGCACACTGCATCAACATTTTTTGACCTTGACCTTTCCTTTGACCTTGACCTCACTTTACTGAAATTAGTGTTTATCTCAGTTTTAAACATACCATTCAAGAAGTTGTTATCAAACTTCACATGTTGATACATACTAATAAGAGCTATTCAACTGTATCAACAATTTTGACCTTGACTTTCCTTTGACCTTGACTTAACTTTTCTTTAATTAGTGTTTCGCTCAGTTTTGAATATACCATTCAAGATATTTTTATCAGACTTCATATGTTGATACATATTGATGAGAGATATGCAACTGCATCAACATTTTTTGACCTTGACCTTTCCTTTGACCTTGACCTCACTTTTCTGAAATCAGTGTCAATTTTTATGTGCTGATACATACTGATGTAAGTAATTCAACTGTATGAACATTTTGACCTTGACTTTTCATTTGACCTTGACCTCATTTTTATCAAATTGTTTTTTTAAGTCAGTAAAGAAACCATTTATAATACATTCATATGCTGAAACATACTGATGAGAGCTTTTTAACTGCATCAACATTTTTTGGCCTTGGCATTTCCTTTTACCTTGACCTCATTTTAATGAAGTTAGCGTCAAACTTCATATGCTGATACATACTGATGTAAGCAATTACTGCATCACTATTCAAGATATTCTGATAAAATTTACACTAATATAAATTTTCATGTTGCATTGCTAATAAACCCTCGGCGGGGCATTCATGTCCTATGGACATATTTCTAGTTTCATCCTGAGTCAGGATAGGGCAAGCAAATATCATTTTAAAGTTGGCCCAAATACCATATGGTCAAGGCTTTGCTTTGTTTATCAGGATTCGGTTGCACAAACGCTTGTTAAATTTAACTAGCCGTTAACTTTGCGTTAACGCGAGATTAAAATAACAGCGAGTTAAATCGGTTGCACGAAAGTTAACTACCAGTTAAACCTTAATTAATTTTGTGGCTTACTAGTAACTAACGGATTTTACTTAGATTACATTGGTACATGAAATATTTAATTAAACATTTAAATCAAAATTGTGGAATTGTTATCAAAACTTGTTTACTGTGAAGGACGAACTTATACAGAGATAATGTAAATGTCTGACATGAGCAAAACACACATTTGATCCTGATTTCAATGTAGGCACGATTACATAATTAGGGCTGTGTCAATATATTGATACGTATATGTACATGTAAGTTGATAAAAACGTTTAATAGATGATAACCTGTTAACTGCTCTGATAATAGTTGAATTTATCAAGATTTTTTATCGGCCAGAAATTGATCTTTTAATATTGACTAGTAGATTTATGATGCTTATAAATTTTTGAAAACCGTCCACAATGTCGTATCTACCACAGAGGCAATTGAGGCAAAAGCCTCACTAAAATTTTTGAGTCTTTGATAAGTAGTAAAACTAATTTTGAATAATAATTAATTGTACGTGTCCTTATGCTAAATTAATATTTTCAACTTCTGTAAATCGGTGATCCCACCAGATGCTTTAATATACATGTAGTTTAAAACGCACCATCGTCTCAAACCACGGTTCGGGGTCCGCATATAGTTTTCACCTGAAGAGGGTCGAACATTCTGTCTGTGAATTCCTACAATGAGAACGCACATGAAAAATAATTCAAAACATGAAAACTTTGAAAGATATTTTTTTTAAATTAAATTCTTAATGTACTTGAATCCAGGCCTCGGACATCCTCCCTCGAGTGCCCCAACGAGGCCCGCTTGGGACTCGGGTAGCCCCCAGTCCTTTAATAGCCTCTCTAAGTTCAACTTAGTTACTACCTTGGCCTACATATAAATACTGGTGGTAAAAAATCTTGATCAACTGTTATCAGAGCAGTTAACGGGTTATCATCCGATAAACAAAGCAAAGCCTTGACCATATGGTACTTAGCATTTGGGCCAACTTTTAAAAATGTTTGCTTGCCCTCTTCCTACTCAGGATGGCAAAATTCGGTAGGTAGGTAGGCGTAATTGGTGTTATTTTCCGATTTTTTTCCCGGAATGAATAAAAATAATTGCTTCCTGGTGGTTAATGAAGGTCAGAGGACACGTTCCTCAAAAATATATAATTTTTCCCAATAATTGGTCATTGAAGTCTAGGAACTAAAGCAAGTTTCCTCACAAAAAATTAGGGTACCTTACAAGGCATTTGGACAAGATACCACAGGGTGATATTTCTTATACATACCCTTATGGGTAATCTTCTGAATGGCTTATATCACGGGTTTTGGTGAAATTATATTTAAAAACATAATGAAAACAATGTAGATATCACAAGAGAATGGCAATTATGCATAGTTTTTTTTTATATATATATAATACCAAGAAATACAAAGCATATATTTGAGGAACGTGTCGTCTGTCCTTAAAAAAGTTTTGAGTCGCACAATTTTTAGCAAGTCGGTCTGGAGAGGACAACCAAACAATTTTTTAAAGTTGGCCTCGTGTAGGCATTTTTTTCCAAACTCCCTATCAGCTAGATTCCCAATTTTGAAGGCCCACCACTCTTTTCTTAAAGGCATATAAATAAAAATGAATTTGTTCTGAAAAGAAATATTTATAAATTTAAACATTATAAAATCTCATTAGACTATTTTTACTAAGATTGGATACACAATTTTTAAAGTTTACCATAACAGAACATTTTATTTCTAATTTAGAGCCCAGAAAAGACAAGTATGAGATTATTACAATTTATTTTTACCAAAATAACCATAAAATGATTTCAGTTTAAATCATTGATGTCAAGGGTACATTGGGAACACAGGCACTTGGGGTTTGGACCCCCTTCCTCATTTCCATTATTTAATTTTTTTAATTTTTTAAATCTGGGTTCGAGTCACCTTTTTCCTATTTTTCTATTCTAATATGCACTATATGTTATCAACAATGTAACTCTTTTGTCTCTGTGAGCTTCTGTCATGAAGATCATAGATAAGATTTCTATTATGATCACAAATTAAGCTCAGTGTATCAGTGGAAAACGATTTATATAAAATCAGCTTGAAGATCTTTAAAAACACATGTATACCAATATTCCGAGAAGCATTTGCGTTCTTTGGAAGCTCATTCCAGAAACTCACTGTAGTCAAATTGAAGGTATGTATAAGCAGTAGATACATCGACTTAGTATTTTGATTAATATGCTTTTCAAAGAATAATACATAAAGACAGGAACAGTGATAAAGCTCAAAAGACTGGAATTAGATGTCATGGAGGAGGAAGCATCGATCATACTCATTGTATGCACCTTTTCACGATCAGGCATGCAAAACGAAAAATTACGTAGACATTTCATTTTGTAAATAATATCCTAACAATAAGTA